AATAGAATAGAATAGAATAGAATAGAATAGAATAGAATAGAATAGAACAGAACAGAACAGAACAGAATTCTTTGTTGGTCAAGTGTGATTGGACACACAAGGAATTTGTCTTGGTGTAAATGCTCTCAGTGTACATAAAAGGAAAGATACATTCATTAAGAGTCAAGAATCATCAGGTACAACACTTAATAATGGTCATAGAGTACAATAAGAATAGAATGGAATGGAATGGAATGGAATTGAATAGAATAGAATGGAATAGAATAGAATAGAATAGAATAGAATAGAATAGAATAGAATCCAGCTTTCACACACCCCAAGACGTGGTTCAGAGCTCTGATCTATGAATTACAGAAGAGTTGGAAGGAACTTTGGAGGTGTTGGAAGGAAAATCCAAGTCCAGTTTAAAAGAAAATAAAAGTGCAAAGTAGAACAACTAAGATGATTAAAGGCCTGGAGGCTAAAACATATTATGAAGAAGGGTTGGAGGATTTGGGTTTGGCTAGTTAGAGAAAATAAGGACTGGGGAGGATGTGATAGCAGCATGCCAATATTTGAAGAGCTGTCACAAAGAAGAGGGGGTCAATTTATTTTCCAAAGCCCCTAAGGGCAGGACAAGAAGCAACGGATGGAAACTAATCCAGGAGGACAGAAGCAACCTAGAACTAAGGAGGAATTTCCTAACAGTTAGAACAATTAATCAGTGGAACAGCTTGCCACCAGAAATATTGGGCGCTCCCTCACTGGAGGTTTTTAAGAAGAAATTGAACAGCCACTTGTCTGAAATGGTTTAGGTTCTCCTACTTGACCAGGGGCTGGACTGAAAGATCTCTAAGATCCCCTTCAGCTGTATTCTGATTCTGATTCCAAGCTGGGAATAAAATGGAGGTTGCTTTAAGAAGGTGGTGTGTTGATGAGCAGAACCAACCACTGCTTGCAGCTGACAAATTAAGCTTTGATGAGTGCAAGGGTGTTTTTTTTTTTTTAAAAAAATAGAGTTTACAGTATGTGCTTTTTATTATTTGATCCTATTATATCCTAAAGATCACGTTCTGTCTTTCTGAATCTCATCGGTTGGAGCCGAAGGTGTTTTGCTTGTGAATAGATTCGCCCGGATTTCTTAATGGGCACAAAATACCCAGCTCTGAACACTTCAGCAATTTTGCGCTCAAAGTGGAAAAGAATGAAACTCTGATTTTGGGTTTTACCAGTTTAGATCGGGATCCCCAAACTTGGCAACTTTTAAGACTTGTGGACGTCAACTCCTAGCCAGAATTCTTTCTGGGAGTTGAAGTCTACAAGTCTTAAGAGTTGCCAAGTTTGGAGACCCCTGAGTTAGACTGATAGATGCTTATACAAATGGCTAGTTTATATTATTATGAAAAAAAAACAAACCCAAACCGTCGTGGTTTGAGATTGATGCTTTTACTGCAACAGGAGTCAGAAGCCAACCTTTTTTCCCAACTCTTCCTCACTTCTCTTCCTCCCTTTTCCCCTCATGTTTTCTTGGTTACTTTTGTATTTTGCATCTTACTTTTTTAGTTATAACTCAATAAAATGCTCACATATAAAGACTTTACGGATCTACAGGAGGCTGTTGGGGGTTGCTTTCTGCTTTTGTTAAGATTTTTCTCCATATCTCCTTTTGGGGAAAATATATTTTGCTTCTTTTAATATTCCCCCAAATATTTCATTCTCTAGGAGTGGGGTCCCACAGAGGTCGTCTAATCCAACCCCCTAGTCAAGAAGGAGCCAATCCCAACCCTGATTCGGAGTCGTCTTGTAACTCCGCATACCCTGTGGGGGAAAATGAGGCCTGCACCCAGGCACATCAGGACGGCCAAGAAGCTTCCTAGCTCAGATCACGGAAATCATTTATCGTATTCTTAAATCATAATTAATCGAAGCATCCAGAAATTCACAATATAGTACACATTAAGTAGAGGGGTTTGGAAACAGGACAACGAATCTGTAGGGCTACTGCAAGTCTTCATCAGGTGACAATCCGGGCTGCAGGAAAGTCAATTCGACCAGGATCTGGTGAGTGGGTTGGATGGGAGACCACCAGGAATCCGAATTGCGGATTTGGAATGGCACGTTAAAGAGAAAACACTGAAGTGAAGGCATCTGTAATTCTTTTCATTTTGTGCTTGGGGCTGACTGGACTCTCCATGAGCTCACAACCAATTGCATAGGATGCCTTCTGCATTAGCCCAAGGGGACTATATATCCATGGCCATGATTTTTTCCCCCTTCTCTTTAGTTCTTCGTTTTTTTTGTTCATAGTATTTGCTTCCAATTTGTCCATTCTGAACTGACTTAAGTGAAACTGACCAGAATAGAATTATTCTAGGATTAGTTGTGGCTAACACAAATGTCCTCTGGATTCTGCTTTGGTTTTGGTAATTGCTTTGCATTGTATTACAAGGGTGTTCCTACTCACCCTCTCATATAGCAGGAAACCGTACTACTTTCAGCAGAAAGGCTCCCAGGATGGCAAAAAACAAGAAATTATAAACCTATAAATCGTTGGATGTATTTGCAACCAAAAAAAAAAAATACTGTGTGGTTTTGACCCTGAGAAGTTATCACATTACTCTGGCAGTAAGTTAGGTGGCTTTGTTGTGCTGTAAATACAACAGTAAGACCAGTTTTCACAAACCTAGTCCTCAGTGATGTATTGCTGAAAAGAATGTGTTGCAGTACTTGTATCAACATGCAAAGATACCCGTTTTAGATCTCCTGAATATGGATCTTCCAGACTGGGCTTGTAAATACGTTTTTCTGCATTGAAATAATGAAATCCAAGGTTTTCGTCATGAGTGTAAACCGTCTGGCTGGCAAATTACCTTTTCTCTTGGTTTTTCAGGCAGAGATGGCAGAGAGAGATGGAACCCCAAAAAGTAGATTGTTTTCTTTCTAAGAACTTCCCCGACTGCACTGGCCAGGAGGAAATGAAAAAAATAACGGGCAAGGGGGATGGGGGAAGTTAAATCTTAGGTCCTACGCCCTATGGCAGGGGTCTCCA